TCTTGTCAATATTCACACTTGTAGATGGGGTCACCTCTGCAGATGGGTAAGCACCCTACAGATGAGTATCTGAATCTTTCGATCTTTCTGCATAACTATTCTAAAAATCACAGAATTATCATTTAAGAGTTCTAAATAAAAATGTGCTCCAATGGTGATCGGCCCTTTTGAAAATCTAACAGAAGCCCTGTAGATCTCAACCTAGTGCTGCATTCTATTCCAGGGAACTCGAATGCCCACAACCCTCCCATCAGCCGGGAGGGGGGACCCCTTGATCGTTCCTGAGCAAGCGTCACATTTCACACGAGAGGAAACTGAGGCAAGGGAGAAGACATGCTCAAAACAGAAACACGTAGCAGACAGAACCATGGTTCCAATTACAGCCTATTGTCCATTCAGCAACCAGCCCTGCTCAGCCAGCATTCAAAAAGTTGTGTAATTGCTTCTGCCTGGTTCATTGTAGGCATCATCCACTTTTATTTTAGAGTTCTGGCTTGCAACAACAAGTATAAATTTGATCCCAGTCATTTGATTTAAGAATTCTTAGGTAGATTTCCTCTTCTTTCCTATCACCCTTCCCCACCCAAGCCCAGACCCCGTCAGGCAAGCTCTCTTCTCTCCCTGAGCTGTGGTCAGTTTTTTTGTTTCTTTTGCCCCAGTGTACCCATTCACTAAGGGTGAAAGTTTTTAAGAGTCCAGCTCTGAGTGTCTGGGAGATCCTATGGAGTTTTAGTTCAGATGCCCAGCCTCTACTCGAATCCTGGAAATTTCCCCCCAAATAGCCAGGCTCTGGCTTTCCCTTCCCATCTGGATGGCGTTTCCCTCTAAAGCCCCTTCAGATTTCCGTCACTTCTTGAGAGCTTGGCTATCATTCTCCTCCTGCTCCTCATAGTTACATCACAACAGCAACAACAAACATTTATTATCAACCAAACCCTGTTCTCCATGCTTTATGATCTCAGTCTTCCAATACGCAACCAACTGTAATGACCTCCAGCTTTACATCATCAAAAAGCCATTGTACTGTCCCAAAGAGAAGACTCTTCTCTCCCAGCTGCAGTGATGCTCCCAGAGGGGCTAGATCGAGTACTGATCCCCTTTCCTGCTGTTCTGTTCGGGAGTCACAGCCCACCTTCAGTAGAGAGCTGCTCATTCACCAACAGGGGACACTGACTGTTGTTTAAAGATGTAACCCAGATGCTGTAATCTAGCTACATGCCTATCTGGCATACAGACCTGCTTCCATACCAACGGTGCAAAAAGAGCTCACAGTTAGGGTAGAAGGTTCACAAACACAGCTGGATTTGTAATTGTGTGCACCTAAGAATGAAGCAGAGCCCCGGTGGCACAGTGTTTAAGAGCTACAGTGAGCTACGGCTGCGAATCATAAGGTTCGAATCCACCAGCTGTTCCTTGGAAACTCTATGGGGCATTCTACTCTGTCCTACAAGGTCACCATGAGTCGGAACCCACTCGACGGCAAAGGGTTTCATTTTTTGTGTGTGTGCTTTAAGAATGGAGCACTAAAATCATTCTTCATCACTTTCTAACAATAACGATGTACATTCATTTCCAACCGCACAAGCAAGACACTGAGGCAAAAGTGGCCGATGATGTAAGTTAATTCTCTCCAGGCCACAAAATACTCTTCATTGTTAGTTTGTAAGCTTGCAAAAATCTAAGAGCCACGATTTTTTAGCCATCACAAAAATTCTCTGATTTTTCTCCTCGATTCTCAAAAATCCTCAGAGGACCCCAGGAGTCCCTTAACATTTTAGAATGGAAAGTGAGACTGTTACAAATGCTACAAGCATCAATGTTTCAGCAAGATATTTAACCTCAAACCCTTGAGACAATTTCGTTAAAATAATCCATTTATAAATTTTGCAAGCTGTAGAGAGTGAAATCAGAACTGCTCTCCACGGTGGAACTCTGGGCCAACTGATGATGGTCCACGTCAAAATTAACTTAGGAAAATAAGGATACAGGAGAAAGCAGCTTTCCTTGTGTGTTAGTATAACCCGGTCCCTTCAGAGAAACTACTCCAAATATAGGCCATAATAGGGAAGGGTAATTAAAATTCATGAGTAACATATGTAAGTATGAATGACTTTATACAGAATTGTCCTATAATTATCTTGACAATAAGGGGAAAATGGTTTCTGTTGAGTATAATAAAGTAGGAGAAAGAAGAAATCAACATGATGACATGTTTTCATATATTCCATGACTTCCATAACTCAAATACATTTTATGACTTCTATTATTCAAACCAATTATGGATAATATTGTGAAGAGTGGGGATTCCAGAACACTTAATTGTGCTCATGAGGAACCTATACACAGAACAAGAGGCAGTCATTTGAACAGAACAAGGGCATATGGAGTGGTTTAAAATCAGGAAAGGTGTGCATCAGGGTTATATCCTTTCACCATACTTATTTAACCTGTATGCTGAGCAAATAAGTCGAGAAACTGGACTGTATGAAGAAGAACATGACATCAGGATTGAAGGAAGACTCATTAACAACCTGCAATATGCAGATGATACAACTTTACTTGCTGAAAGCAAAGGACTTGGAGCACTTACTGATGCATGATGAAGATCAAAGACTGACTACAACCTTCACTATGGATCACACCTCAACATAAAGAAAACAGAAATCCTCACAACTGGACCAATAAGCAACATCATGATAAACAGAGAAAAGACTGAAGTTGTCAAGGATTTCATTTCACCTGGATCCACCATCAACACACATGGAAGCAGCAATCTGGAAATCAAACAACGTACTGCACTGGGTAAATCTGCTGCAAAAGATTTCTTTACAGGGTTAAAAAGCAAAGATGACACTTTGAGGACTAAGGTGTGCCTAACCCAAGCCAGGGTATTTTCAATCACCTCATACGCATGCAAAAGCTGGACAATGAACAAGGAAGACCAAAGAAGAACTGATGCCTCTGAACTATGGTGCTGGCAAAGAATACTGAATATACCATGAACTGCCAGAAGAACAAACAAATCTGTCTTGGAAGAAGTACGGCTGGAACGCTCCTTAGAAGCAAGAATGGCGCGACTTCGTCTCACATACTTTGGACATGTTATCAGGCGGGACCAGTCCCTGCAGAAGGACATTATGCTTGGTAAAGTAGAAAGTCAGAGAAAAAGAGGAAGACCCTCATGGAGATGGACTGATACAGTGGCTGCAGCAATGGGCTCAAATGCAGCAACGATTGTGTGGATAGTGCAGGACCAGGCAGTATTTTGTTCTGCTGTACACAGGGTCACTATGAGTCGGAATTGACTCAATGGCACCTAACAACATTATTCAAACCAAAATTCCACCTTGGGTTGGTTTTATAGAAACTAATACTAACCCTTCCTGAACCCTACATCTACCATTTGTTTTATAACTAAATTTGAGGTATAAAAGAAGACAGTGGGTAAAAGAAAGATACCTGCTAAGGCTGTCTATTCTGATATATTATTTAAGCTAAACAAGAAGCTTGAACCCAAGATTCATGTTACTCTCTCGACAGCATCTGTACATACACTTGACCTTCCTTAACAATTTCCACCAGTGAAGAGAATACCTCAAGGAACAGCTCTTTAAAGTCTCTGGCTTGAACTGATCCTTTTAAAGATGGAGTAAACAAGGCCCTCTTGATGCTAAGAGATGTTTGCAAGGAAGAAAAGCTGGTCAGTGGTCTGATTTTTAATTTGAGGCAATAAAATGGTATTTTTTAAACTACCAGAAAACTGGTGCATACATACAATGGAATACACTCAGCCATAATGAGAAATGAAATTCTGATACATGCTACAACATGGATGAATCTTAAAAACATTATGCTTAGTAAAAAAGAAGTCAGTCACAAAAGGACAAATATTATGTTCCACTTATATGAAATATCTAGAATGCTACTGTCGTTAGATGCCGTCAAGTTGATTCCAACTCACAGCGACAGAATGAAACACTGCCTGGTCTTGCGCCATCCTCACAAATGTTGCTATGTTTGAGCCCATTGTTGCAGCCACTGTGTCAATCCATCTCCTTAAGGGTCTTCTTCCTCTTTTTCACTGACCATCTACTTTACCAAGCATGACGTCCTTCTCCAGGGACAGGTGCCTCCTGATAACATGTCCAAGTATGTGAGACGAACAGGAATAGAAAAATGCATACCAAAGTTTCTTAGTGGTTACCAGGGCATGCAGGAGGGAGGGGAAAGGAGGCCTCGATGCTTAGGGACACTGCGCTTCTGCTGAGGGTGATGGTATAATTTGATAACAGATAAGGGTGATGGCTGAACAACATGATGGATGCAATTAGTCACTGAACTGTGCATGTGAAGATTATTAAATGTCAAAGATTTCGTTACATGTATCTTTACCACAGTAAAATTAAAAAAAAAAAAAAAAAAACAGAGCTAGGAAGAGAGGAGAAAAAGGGCAACCAAAAGTTCTACAAAATGACAGACGCTACGTCCAGGAATGGTGACTGGTTGTCAACGGAACCGCTTCACGTCAAGGCCGTCAGAGCAAACTAGTTAAGGAGAAAGGACACTTCACCACACACCAGGTACGGCCGTGGTTTCCTACTCAAGGCAGTTTTAATAAATTTAAAGGATCCACCATAAAAGTAAAGGTAATGCAAAGAAACCGCTAGCATGCTAATTCCAAGATATGACACCTCTAGAGAAGTGATTCTCAACTTGCTCTGGAGAACCTTACAGTGAAATGTCAGGAAATAGTGACCAACTCTACTCATCAAAGGAAACAGGAAGACTTTTACTAAAAAAAAATACAGCTGCCTTATAGGAATTTCATTACGCAAATTAGTATTTTAAAATAAGAAACCCCATTTCCTTAATCCCATTTCTCTTAACGGTATGTTTTTGCTACTTGGCCACATTCCTCCCTCCCAAGCACTTTTTTCACCACAGTTTGTGGCAAACAAACAGCTACACAGAGAAGATGCTGAGAAAATCTACAAGCTCACCTTCGTCACTGGCTGCCTGCTGCTTCACGAGTGTCATCGGGGATCTTGCCGGAGGCTTACTAAGCGGATGGCGCCAACTCTTAGCGGTTTTGGTCTCTGCTTCTATTCTCTGGTTACAGAAATAAAAATGTGGGGGGGGTGGATCCATAGTTAAGACTTGATTTAAAAAATACATGGTTAATAACAATTTATGACTACTTAATTCTGAAGAAATCTTGGCACATGTTTACCTCTTGGAGAATTAGTCCTCCCCTCCCTGCCCCAACCAAGACTTTAACATCAAAGAAAATAGGAACCCATTCTATCAGTAATTTTACCAAGAGGTCAACTAACTTTCTTTCCACTTCATATTAAAATACTAGCTGCAGTGCAGGGCAGGCTTAGCAAACTTGCAATAAACTCAGTAGATAACAAGTTTTCAAACATTCTTTAAAACTAATCTAAATGTAGGATTACATACTCATAAGAATATAGGATGCAGCCTTTAGTCAACCGTCTGCTGTTCATGCACAAACATTTGGTGGTGTTTTTACTTCTTCTTCTCACAGAGAATGCAGCCCTGTCAAGCTGAGGCTGTACACTCCCTTCCATTCAAAAATCATGAAGCCCTTTAGAAAGGAACCAGTACTTCTCTATCACACGGATCAACAGAGAAGGGGACATATTTTATATATATATATATATATACATACATATATGTACATACATATGTATATATATATTTACACACACACACACACACACACACACACACACACACAACAAGCATACACGTTGCCTTACACTTAAAACTAACAAACACTGGTCAAAATTACACAAAAATGAAAAGATGGAAAGGGTCTGGGTTAATTACAGGGGTTGTTGTCTGACACTTCCATGTGAAAACAGGAGACCCTGCCCACTGTTTGAGATGAGGGGCATGCCATGGGCTCAGCCCTCAGCAGCAGCATCCCCTTTCCTAGGCTGTCAGTCTTTGTTCCATCAAATGATAAGGGTTAAAGGCAGTGACTGTATAACCATCCTCCTTGAAATCAAGGAAACTCAACTTTAGCTCCATTCTAGTTTAAAGAATGTGACTAAACATAATTGAAGCGGGCCTTTGACTTATCTGCCATTCTACAAAGGATTCCAATCTATGTGCTCAGGCACGTTTAATCCCTACTTGGAATTAAGTTGTACATTTTGTTTATTAGTATATGAACACTATCTTCAAACTTGCGCTTAGCCACCTCTTCAAAACGGAACCAAATTTTTCTATTTCTCCTATGTTTTTGGTAAATATCTATCTTAGAGTTAAGTGTAATGTATAATCAGAAATAGATAAAAGTTTTTGGACCCAATTAGGAAATTATCTATATTTTTGTTGTCATTTTAAGACTACTTAGAAACCGGGTATCCAAAGACGCTGTCCTTATGTAATTCCCATTGCTACTCAAGGATCCGAAAAGGCCTGGTGAGATTAATGAGCAGGAGCTATCAAGGGGTCACTGAACTCTGACAATCACCACATGCAGTCTTCAACTGCCTGACCCACTCATACTCTCACAGCTACAACGACAGTTTATGCCAAAAACATTTAATGTTAACATTGTACAAGGACATCCGAGAAACAGCGAGGCCCTCTCCAAAGAGTCAGAAAGGGAAGTTGGTAATCAAGAGGAGTCTTAATGAAGAACTGGATGGTGCCCAGCTACCATTACTGAGCATTTTGATCAAAGATTCTATAGAAGAATCTGGATCAAAAGGGGGAAAAGGCAGAACAGAATTTCAAATTCTCATGGACTCCAGACTTTCTGGAGTCATGGAGGCTGGATGAACCCCTGAAACTATTGCTCTGAAATAATCTTTAAATCGTAAACCAAAAATATCCCCTGAAGTCTTCTTAAAACCAAGCAATAGTTTAGCTTAACTAGTAAAGAATTGCCTTGAGCATTGGGCTCTTTCAAGATCTATCTATATGGGGTCAAACTGACAACAGAAATGCACAAGATTAGATGAAAAACTTAGGGAGTAGCGAGTTTACGTTAATGGGTGAGGAATAATTCAGAAAAGGGGAGTGAGAATGGTTGTACAACACGAAGAATGTAATCAATGTCACTGAATTGTACATGTAGAAACTGTTGAACTGGTATATGTTTTGCTGTATAGATTCTCAACAGCAACAACAAAATAAATAAAAATTTTAAAAAGGGGGGTCTTGACTCTGAGAGACAAAAGGCATGTTTATGGGAGGCAGGCAGCCCCAGAAAGGTCAGCCTGGTATTAGGACTCAGGTTCACAAGGAGAGAAATGACCATGTGAGCTCTAATGTGAAAACTGTGGGAAGCTCATCAGAGGCTATAGGAAGCCTGGTACCCAGCAGTATTAGCTCAGAGCCCTGCAGGTGAGTCCTTTCCAGCCCAGATAATCCTGTAGGGGATGGGACTGCTCTGTACCTGGACCGCATCAATGTCATCATCCTGGTTGTGATACTGCACTATGGTTTTGCAAAATGTGACTAGCAGGGGAAACTGGATAAAGGGTATGTGGGATCCCTCCATACTATTTCTTACAACTGCATGTGAATATATTATTATTTTAAAATAAAAAGTTTGGTTTTAAAAACTTTAAAAAAAAAAGGAAAATCAAGCTTCAGCATGCAACCAGGAGTTGCATGCTCTTTGAATTATCACCATGTGAGCAAGTGCTCACAGGAGGCTTCCCTCCCAGTCATCTCGGGAAACATGATAAAGACTCATACATGTGAGATGTTATTTATTTCTGCCCTACCGCCAGAGTTCAGTGCACAGCATGCTGTTTTCACAAAGCGCTCTCACTGCACAAGGAATTCAGTAAAAACAGAGATTGCCACATACATGGGGGACTTTGAAGCCATTTCTCTCTCCGCTGGGGACCTCTGGGACTTCCCCAGGCTCCAGGCCACTCCCGCAGCTCTCCAGGTCACTCTCCTCTCCCTCTGTCCACACACCATTAGTGTCTGCCACTGAGGAGCACGACTCGGGCGACCTTGGCCATGAAAGCTTGGCAGGGTCTGCTTCCTCAGACTTCACGCAGCCACTCGATAACGTGACAGCACCATCGGCCTCCTCGGGGTTGGAAGGTGCAACCGTGGCACAGGCCTCGTCCTCCTCAGTTTTCATCTCCTCCATTATAGATGTGCTTGAGCAGCTGTTCCCTAAAGAGTGGAACAAGAGACCGTTAATAGATCTTCCATTCCATTATTACTGAGTTAAATTTTTAAACTACTCTCAACTGAATATCAATCTTCCAACCTCCCCTGAAACTTCCACAGATCTGAGTATGAAAGGCCACAATAGCACCACGCTGCCTTCACAGCTGTTACAGTGATACCTTGAAATTTGGCAAAAGGAAAAAACCTACAAAACAGGAGATCAACAAGAGGCTCTGCTACAGAGCACTGCCATAACCCAAGGCAATAACAATAATTATCCAAGGCAACAGCAATTTGAATTCTTTCTAAAAATATGGATTATATCCCAATACATGGTGCTAAGAATTGCTACTGATGAACCATCCCAGCTCAAAAGACTCACAGAAGACGTGCAGATGCAATAACAATTATTTCCTACACTAACACTGTATCAGACACTAGCAGCATGTAACAGGAGAAGATCATGGTGAAGAATATCACAGCACTTGTCTTGCCTTTCCATCCCTAGTCAACCTTCTCCACGTCACACATGTACACGCACACAAATGTTAAGCATCGTTTCTATTCCTCGCCTGCTTGCTGATGCTGAACCTAACCAAGTCCTCTTTGAACTCAGGTATAAAAAGATGAGCTTTTACATTAAGTAGTCTGCCAGGTCTCAAAAGCTGGAGGTCAAAACTCAAGTAACACGTAGCAAAAGAACTAATGAAATTGGGTCCCCTGAGCCTAAACTACCCGGCAATTCATAAGGAGATTAAATAAACCAAGGGTGGTAGAGACCATGGTGAGGAATTCAAAAGAAATACCCGTATGTAGTGTACAAAATGAAGGAGCCCTGGTGGAGCAGTGGTTAAGCGCTAGGCTGCTACCTGAGAGATTTGAACCTACCAGCTGTTCCATGGGAGAAAGATGTGACAATCTGCTTCTGTAAAGATTTACAGCCTTGGAAACCCTGTGGGGCAGTTCTACTCTGTCATATAGGGTCACTATGAGTTAGAATCAACTTGATGGCAATGGTTTTTGTTTAATTGCACGACCGCCTTCTCTGTACGATCTGGGATTCCTTTCCCGACCTTTTCAGTCTCACTAACATCTATCCATCCATCACAACTCAATTCAGGTATCAGCTGCCACAAGAACTCCTTCCTGTCCCGCCTCCTGCCTCTGTTTGAGGTCTTTCCTAGGTAGGTCAACAAACCCTGTGCCATCTCTACCAGGGTACTAACCACAATGGATCGTGATTCCCTGTTTATTTATCTTGCTCTCCACTAAACTATGAACTCCCTGAAAGAAGGTCTGTGGTTTCAACTCTATTTACACAGATGTTGTGAAAGTAAAAGGTAATGAGGGCCAAGTTATTGAGGACCATGATAAAGACTTTACCTTTTATGATAAATGGAATAAGATGAAGAAGGTAGGAACAAGACCCAACTGACTTGTTTTAAAGGGTCACTATGACTCTCATATGGAAAACTGACTAGCAGGAGCAGCTAGAGTAGATGCTGGACAACAGGCAGGAAGCAACGTTGGCAATAATCTAGGCATGAGATGACCGTGCCTTAAACGACGTGGAAGCAGTGGAGGGGGTGGGATTCCGGTACATTTCCAAGAATGAAGGATTTGCTGGTGCACTGGATGAGAAAAAGACAGGCATTTCCAATAACCTCATTTAGTAAAAGGAGAAAAGCTCCAAAAAATATGAAAGAGACACAGCGTTAAAGCAATTTCCGAGACACCTGCTACTAAAGCAAAAAAAGCAAAGTACTTCAGACTTAAAAGTGAGAGTTACAATTTAGAGAAACAAACTAAATGAACTTTCTATTTTTGTTGTTCTTTTTTAAAACCTTAATCTTTTATTTTCCTCTTAAAATTAAGTCAAAAGCTAAGAATTTGCAAAGAATTTTCTATAATTGGGTTTCTCTGTTCCACGTGAATTCAAGAGAAGCTTTCCAAAAATATACTGTATACTGTAAATTGAGTTGCACTCTAAAAAAAAAAAAATTCATTGTTATTTTTTAATATCAGAATCTTCTTTTTTATTAAACCAAACAGGCACTGCTGGCTTTGTCTCTACTTCCATTCCCCGTAGCCATGTTGCTCCTTACGTTTGTACCATTTCCAGGGCGTCCCGATTGAGTTACCCTATAACTTTCAACAACGTAATGGTTTAGCTACCTGGAGTAGTAAGATATCTGTCTTACTGGACATTAATTTAAGGCATCAGGTCATCAACCACTTGTATGAGAAGACAGACATTTTCTCACCTGAGAGGTTGATATTATGCAACAAGTTCTGATCCGGCTGCATCCTGTCAGCAAAGGTCTCCTCCTCAGAAGCTGCTCCTATGTTCCCCAGCTTCACTGCTGCTTCTGGCTTTTCACTGACCTTAAGCTGGTCTGTGGCTAGTTCAGGGGTGGGGAACTCATCCCCATCGGCTACAGCTGACGCTTCCTCATCCTCCTCAGTTTTAGGCCTTTTAGGGTGAGATCTAGTGCGCTGGAAGCTATTAACGAGAGAATCTGTGGTCAGAGCAGAATGTCTGCAATGGATGAGATAAAACACACACCAGTATAGACGTTATTTTCACTGACTTAAAAAACTGACAGTGTTTCTGGTCTCATCCCTCCGGGAGCAAGGGAGAATAAAGAGAACAGGATACAAGGAAAAGATTAGTCCGAAGCACTAATGGACCACAGCTACCAAGGCCTACACCAGACTGAGTCCAGTACAGCTAAAT